GCAGCAGCAGCACGCGGCCGCGTCTGGAAGTCTGGAGGACTTTGCGGGAAGCGGGTGGTACAGCTGCTCGGCAAGGTTGTCATCGGGTACGTCCTCGCCCAGCACGACCTGACGAGGACACATGTGTACCTTCGGCTCCTCCCCGCCCAGCAAAAGTACCTCGGCGAGGCCGCGCTGCGCGCGTGGGAGGCCCGCTCGGCGGGCTCGGGGACGCGCGCGCGGCGCTGCTGAGCCGCGAGGCCGAGAGCGCGCGCGCGTGGGGGGGCTTTGATAAATGTCTCCTAAGAGTCGCGTTGTTCTACTTTTCGCGGTGAAATAGTGGGTCCAGGAGGCGAGCAGCTCGCTGCAGCAGCAGCAGCGGCGGCGCCGGGGGGTAAAAAGCGCCCGGGAAAGAGCCGCAAGCAGCTCCGCGGGCGCAGCGAGGGCGGCTAGTGCCCCGGGCCGCGGGCCCTCGCGGGCGTCGATCATCCGTCTCGGGCAGCGGCACCAGCGTCCAGCGGACATGCCGGCCGGGGGAGCACGACCAAAACCTTCCACCGAGTCGAGCAACCCGACGAAGTCTGAGAGGGGCGACACCGATAAGCGGTAATTGGAAACTCAACTCGCCATGGTCGCCAAAAGGGGCAATCAATCTACAGCCGTGACGCCCCAGACTTGAACTCACCTTTACTTATTACGAATTGCTTCCAGCATAGCGTCGTGACCTCCGTGGCCTCGACCGCAAGCGCGCTCGCGAATGACAGCCCCCCGCTTCTCCTCCCCCCCAAAACCTCACAGCATGAATAATAATTCGCAATACCTAATTCCTTCCCGTTTTACTTTCGCCCCCCACGGGCGGTCTGCTGCTGCTGGGCTTCTCATCGCCTCAAAGGAAAGAAAAATCTCACGCGGAGAGAGTGTGGGCGCAGAATGAGGAAGTTATTAGGCCCGTCAGGAGCGCCCGCCCCCGCCCCGCCGGCCCCGCCCCACCGGCGCTGGCTCTGCTCTCACGGGGAGAGCGTTGCTTGGTGCTGCGGGGCGCCGGCGCGGGGCAGTATACGCGGAACCACACCGCTGCCGGGGAGTGCTGCTCAAAATGGTTATGCATGTGGGCCGAGGGGAAGCCGGCGTCCCACAAACAAGGAAACAGATTTATTAGGTGAGCAGCTGTGTGTAGAGTACGTGCGGGGCCGGGGCGGAACGTACCCGCCCGCGGGGCGCGCACGGACCCGCGCACGGACCCGCGCACAGACCCGCCCCCGCACCGCCGCACCACGGCCGAGCGGCGCGCCCACGGCGCGGGCCCCCGAGAAAGTGGGCAAAGGAGCGACTTAACATGGCAAGAACAAAAGCAGTTTGCCCTGCAGTCTGTGTGTGTGTGTGTGTGCGTGTGTGTAAGAGAGAGAGAGTAGTTGTGTGTGTGAGTGTGGGGTACAGAAAAGGGGGGGGGGATATAAAGTGGGAGAGAGAAAGAACAGGGAAGAGACAGAGGAATAGAGAAGGGAAAGGACAGAGGGAGGGAGATGTAGAGAAGGGGAAGGGAAGGGGGGTAGGGAGCTGACCCCTACTGAATATGACGGGGGTGGACCGTGCGCCGGAGGGTTCGGTGGAAGGGGGCTGGGAAGGGGTAAGCACAAGCTGAACATTACCAGCGGACACTGCAAAAACCTCAGCCGTAATAAGACTTCGGGGCGATCCTGTCCGTGAGAGAGGAAAAGGGGGGAAGGGGGAGTGGAGACGGGAGGAGGAAGGGGGTAAGGACGGAGGAGGGAAGATATCCAGTTAACTCTCGACGCCACCCCGCCAGGCGCGCGTCGCGCCCTGGAGCCGGAGCCAATGAGAGAAGAATTAACGGGATCAAGAGAGAGCGCGGTCTCTAGGTCAGAGATCGGGTGGCTGGGACGGAGTGGTCCGGATGAAAAAGGGTGCCGCGGCCAGGCGAGCCGAGCGGAGCAGAGCAGAGAAGCGGCCAGCGCGGACGGTCCAAAAGGAGAGAGCGGCCAAAAGTCGGCTCATTCACACAGCACCTTTACGTGCCGTTCAACAATGGGAAAGAAGATTAATGCGCCGTGGAAAACTGGAAAGGGGTGGGAAGGGGGGTTGGAGCTACGGAGGAAGGGAAGGCAGAATTGGGGAATGGAAGCTAAAAGTAGATAGAGAGCGAAAGAGAGCAAGCGAGCTGTCCGGGGGAAAAAAAAAAGTTTGACAACGTTTTGAGCGTGACGTGGGGACGCAGTGCAAGGGCGTTGCTCTTTGGGCCCCTCGGATCGCCCGGCGTCACGCCGCCGCCGCCGCCGCCAAGCTTCTACAGCCGCGGCGCGGCGGTGCGTCACCCCCGCGCAGAGCATTTGCCAGGCCGTATTCTAAACACTTCCAAACAATTTCACCCCCAACAACCCACTCAGATAAACCTCCCCGCGGAAAACTTTCTCCCCCAAACACCCCGTTCCCCCTTGCTCCCCCGCGGTGTGGCGCGCCAAACAGCCCTCCCAATACATGCAAACACACACACACTTGAGATGAAAAAGTGTTCGACTCGCGGCTCGTTTCCGATGGGCTGCGAGGGTTGTGTGGAGGCCTTGGAGGGAAGGGGAAGAGGGCGGGCGGCTCGTTTCGCGCGCCCTGTGCCCAACCGGTTTAGTGATGTCATTAACTGGACCAGCCGGTTGGCTGCCATAACTGGGCGGGGGGATACGGGCAGCGCGAGCCCCTCCTCGGCCTCGACTAGGCAGGATCCTTCATTAGGACCCTCCAGAGGACCCCACTACCCCCTGCAGGACCCTCCAGGACGGACAACGGCCGTCTCCTGCCGAACGCCAAGAACCACGTCGATGGGCTTTGATATCGCCTTGGACGACTCAGGGTCCTCAATTAAAGAGGCTAGAAATGACAAAAGACACATCCACTCCCACTCCATTTCAAATTCTTCGCACCCAGAAAAATTAAACAAAGGGGCAACTGTGGCAATACTTTCAAATCAAGTTCAAATGGCTGAGACATGAACAATTTTGCATGTCTTGCTTGCCTTCTCTGTAACGTCGGTAAAGGCTACACACCACAGTGTTGCGGGTTTGCGCACCCGATGTGGCCTAGCTCTTTGGGTATGCAAACCCGCAACACCGTATTAGCCTTTACACTCGTTATTTTACAATGGTCCTTTGCTTTCTGGGAGCAACTGTAAGACTTACTAGAGAAGCAAAGGTTTGTA